GACGGTGGATGCATCAGAAAAGAGCGTGAAACTTACGAGTGAAGGCAGCGAAATGGTTGCTAACGGATCAGCAGAGTATCGAGTCTTCCAACAAGTGGGAGCCGATGGAGCTCTGCAGGCTGATATTATGGTAAGATGATGTAAAACGTTGTTTGAGATCTGCAAACTTATTGATGAACTTAGAGAAGATCTGAACTGATGTCTCTCTCTAGCAAACCGAGTTCGCGAAAACAGTATCTCACCTTTCACCCTTTTTTCACTCACCTTTGTGTGTGAAAAAAAGCAATTGGAAAAGATCAGTTCTGCAAGTGGAGAAAATCTGATACATGGGTACATTTCAACGCCTTTACTTTGCACTGCTGGGCCTGTTTCGTCTATTTTTTTTCTGGTATTTGATCATTGACATCGTCTTAATTTTGGGGTTCGAATAGGCCGCTTCGAATAGGACATGATAGACTTACACTATCAGTTTCACAGAAGCGCTGAGTTACGGGCAGAAGACTTGACCCCAGGCAGGACTCGAACTCGCTTGGAGCCAACTCTTTCATCCATCACTCAGTATTCTTGTAACATGGTGCAAGAACTATGGCGTCAAACAGCAGTTCTGATACTGGTAGATTGATTCTTTACCCGTTATACCAATACCACTGCCAAACTTAACTACCTTTCACGCTACTTATGTAGGATTTCCATGTAGAAAATTGCCCATCCGGTGCCTCAGGCCAGCGCGATTTGATGAGAGTAATGAACGTCTCACAAAAGATTTGAGCCCAGTCGGCCTTAGCTTTCTTTTTCCTCTGCGATATTTCTTCATACACAAGTTTAAAAATGCTGGTTCAGAAACTGCCTTTTGGAAAAGTCGGTGTGAGTAAAGCCTTGGCCTCTGGTTGGATCAGCATCGACAAGAGCGGTGGAGCTATCCGCTTGGTACAGTTTTGAGCGTACAGCGCTCCTTGGTCATTTCTTGCGTTACTTTTGTTCAGTTTCTACTAGCGTTTTTTGTTGATTCTTTTCAATTAAGGTAAGAAAATGTGAAAGCGTTGTGGACACCGTACGCGCTCAACTGGACGCTTTGAATTTAGGCGAAGAAGTCGATGCTAAAGCTGTCACTGAACTCAAGAAAAGGAAATTAGTGTCGGAAGTGTGGGTTGATTTTAGTTGAAACTCCTCTTTTGATGAGTTGGAGTAAACTTACTTTTTTCATTTTTCTACCTATCATGGAAATCCTCCTTTCTGGGAATTAAACGCATACTGTTCCATTAAATTCATATGATGAAGTGCTGAAGGTGTAATTTCTCTCAATTGACTGTTTTCAGATTAACAAAGTATGTTATTGTGAAAAAGGGACCGAATTTCACGACCAACATCAGCAAGCCTGAAGTTGACTTGACTCCGGAAATGATCGCCAGGTGAGCATTAACTTTTATGAAGGAAAATAGCGCTGTTCGGCTTGGAAGGGGCAGGGAAGGAAGAGAAGAAAGTAGATTTGTATCTTTGCTAATTTCTTTAGCTAGTTTGTTGAATTACACGTTCCTTGGTGATACTCATACAATCTGGTCAGCTAAGCGAAGCTCTTGCCATTGCATAGATTTGCAGGAGTCTCCAGGATTTCAAAGCGCTGGCAATGATTGTAGAAACCAGCAAAATGTCCATTCCAAGCCGAACTGCGCCTCGTCCGTGAAATATATTCGAAATATGTCTAGAACACATTTTCATCTTAGATTAGCTAGCCACTGACTGACGAAGGGGATTGATCCCAATAGAAACATATAAAAAATTTTCAGTGGTTCTTGGAAATCGAAAACTTTCAAGCAGTACAACTTTGATGCCCTTGGTGTCCAACCTCCTTGCGGACATCTACACCCCTTGATGAAGGTGGGATGACTTTTACTTAGCAGGATTACATCGAAATGCATAACATTAATGTTATAAATGTGAGTCTTTAAGGTTCGATCAGAGTTCCGACAAATTTTCTTCTCAATGGGTTTCACGGAAATGCCAACAAATCGCTACGTGGAGAGTTCGTTCTGGAATTTTGACGCACTTTTCCAACCTCAGCAACATCCGGCAAGAGACGCCCATGACACATTCTTCGTCTCAGGTACTGATGACAATTTGATGGCATACGGATTGCATCCTACTTTTTGTATTATGCTAGTATTTATTCTTAATGTGTTCAAAAAACGACAACTGTTTTGGAGCCACTTTTCAAATGTTGTGCATAACGAATAACATACTGGATTTACTGCTGGCCCTAAATAATGCATTCAGTGTATTATATTACTATATTAGTATTGTTTATTTATTTACTGCTACTAAATCTACTACGATCTATTCATTTACAGATCCTGCTTTGAGTACCGTGTTTCCCTTGGATTACCTGGAACGTGTAACAACTGTTCACTGCAAAGGAGGATATGGATCCGCCGGGTATGTTTTTCATCTTCTTCTTGGCAGTTAGCCTCAATTCTGAGGCGATTTTCATCGCAACAATGATGAATCATCGTTCACATTTTGTTAGCAATACATTGCTGAGTGCATTGAATGCCTGTGTTCTAACTCCTGTCCGGAAATTCGGCTTCACCTGAATAGCCAGTTCTAGAAGCCGGTTCAAGAGTGAGATGTAAAGGGCGGTTAAGATGTTTTGGACACACAGGAACTGAGATAGGTCAGCCTACCGTGGGCGGGCGCTTCTCAGTGAGGAGCAACTTATTTCAAAAATTCGTAATTCGGAACCAGAAGAGTCCGGGAAGTGAAAAAAGAGGGAGAAGATGCAGTAAGGGGGCCTCACCCATGATGGGCGTGCGTATCAGCGATGGGCGGCACCCGCTTCGGAAATTCCGAAAGAAAATAATTTTGTTTCAGGTAAGCACGAAGAGTGCCGTGAAGGGGGAGAGCATGGCTGTCGGTTGCGACTCAGTACGGACCACTGGGCGTGGCGTCTGCGCTTATAATCGAATGACTGCTTCCCTGTCACTGAAACGTATTGCAACTAACCTGCTTATTCCTTTTTACTTACTCGCGAGTCGCGTCTGTAATTGACTGCAAAAGTTCTGCTCACCTGCCCCAGAACCCAACTGAGAACCAACCAAACTGCTGCGAAAGTACAACCTAGAGCTCTCAACCATGTTAACACTGTCAAGCGACTCTCCAGCAATATCCAGGCGATAGAAGTATATAGTGAAATGCTCGGAAAAATGCTCTCTATAAATGGGTTTTTATATGGCTGACGGAGCGGAAAACAGAAAGTGCTCAAAAAAAAAAACATCTTTGTGATGGATGACCGGTCCAACTGACCCCTCTCTATCTGTTGAAACATGTGCGGGGCAAGACCCAAGTAATATCAGTGAAGCATGATCAGCGCATTTTCTACTGAAACATTTCAAATACGGCGACTATCGAGGCAACTCTCCAGAAACCTGCTTCGGAACCACATAAAACGAAGGCTATATGGGAATGTTCGAAAAAGTGCATGGTTATACGATCAATCGTGTATGAACGTTAGAATCGTTTTGTGAGGTATATTTATATTTATTTTTGCATTTTTTGAAAAAACCCATACTGAAGTGAGCTACACCCCATATGTGGAAGTTCCTTATTTGAGATATGATACCGCATTAGTTTTTTGGAATCATGTCGACCATCCTATATAGATTCCACGCCACCAGATTACTCCCCCCCTATGCCCGGTACTCCGAACTCCTACAACACACTTATTCTGCACTATATAACTACGTCCTGGAAGCATTTGAGAAGCACCACAGAAAATGTGACTGCGAACACATAACTGCAGTTCTCGCAGCCCGACAACTCTAAAAATGCTGCAACGAAGTTAAGTCTGATTTTTTGACCGGCGCATTTATCCGCTGTATTTTTTTTATTGCACCAATGCTGCGCTCCCGAATGATAAACATTTCTATCTACGGCTGTGCAGGAAGGCGACGGCTCGCCCACATTTGGACGCCATGTCCGCTCACGTTTTTCTTCACTAGGACCTTTGTAGAGAATGTTCTTTTCAGGGTTTCAAGCCAACGAAAATGTTCTCAATCGATCGAGTATTCCGAAATGAGACATTGGATGCTACCCACCTTGCTGAGTTTCACCAGGTAAAATCAACTATGTTGGAATGGAATCGTGGGTCCGTCCCACGTATTCCCGGTTTCGTGAACACCGTGGGCTGCCTATATAACCTGCCACTGCTGGTAGTGTCACAATTATCATGAACAGATATCTCTTCGATAGTCTAACCTGTTATCATAGAGCAATGTTAGTGTACAAAAGTACCCACTCCTACAGATGGCAAGCCAAACCAGAGCCATAAAAATGAGCCAGAATCCTACGCCACCTAGATTCATACATAGCCGATGCAAACCTAAAGCGGTTTAACCCACAAGATATCCTTCCATCTAGCGATTGTTCTGGCGACAAACCATCTTTGACCACCTCACAGACGTCCAACCATCCTCACCCTTTGTCAAAACCGAAAGAACGCCATTGCGCGCAATAACACGCTCTAGGCCAACACGCCGGCATCTGTAGCCACTGTCACTACCGCACTACTTGCGCAATCCACTCCCACCAGCGAAAGAGTCCATCTCGGTCTCAGCGAGTGAGGAGAGTTGAAGCTTCCCGCATCGTCCAGCGCACTTCCCTTGCAGCAGGGAACCCTCTTAATCAACTTAGTTTTATCTCCAAGTCGTCCGCGACGACGTTGGGAAACTCCCCTCCCGATTCCGGGAGAGACCGATCTGCTCACCTTCCGTGAGCTCGGCAAAACTCCAGACTGACTGATCAGCTCGATCAGCCAACGGATCGACAGTAGATGGGGGCGTGGCCACAGTGTATGGTCTCGTGAGAGAACCACAAGTACCTAAGGATACACCTAGGGATATCACCAGATGCATCCACTTTTACGACCTGTCCTTAGGTACTTACATCATTGCCACGGCCCCATCTCAATCCGAGATGTTACACATAAGTTATCCGAACTTAAAAGATTGGAAACTGAGTTCCAATTACCCATATACAACACTATTGATTTTCGTGAGGTTCGAGTGGTGCCACAATTAAAGCTTTTTGACAGGTCGAGGGAGTTATCGCTGAACGCAACTTGTCATTAGCGCATTTAATAGGAGTATTCACGGAATTCTTCAAGAAACTTGGTTAGTTTACTGAAAGACATCTTTTCAGTATTCTGTATTGTCGCGTTCATTTGAAATTCAAAACTGGAAATGAATTATTGGAAATGAATGTAAAATGTTTAGGTATTGAGAACCTCCGCTTCAAGCCCACCTATAACCCGTATACTGAACCTTCTATGGAAATATTTGCCTATCATAAAGGATTGAAGAAATGGGTTGAGGTCAGAGGTTCATTACTTGAAATTTATTTCAAAGATCATAAGTGGAAACGATTTGGCTATTGTTCAGATTGGAAACTCCGGAATGTTCCGACCAGAAATGTTGCTACCAATGGGATTGCCACCGGATGTCAACGTGGCCGGGTATGGACTTTCGCTAGAAAGGTGAGGATGAATTCAGCATGGCTCCTCGTTGATCAAAAGCTTCATCAAGCTCTTCATAGCGATAGCAGCCTTTCAAGAGGGGTTGAAAGAGTAGGAGGGGTTTGCTTCCAGAACTGTTGAAGGGATTAGATTGAAGGAGTAAGAGGTAGTGTCTAAAGGGGGTTTGGTTCGGGAAGAGTCGGAAACAGATCGAAGAGATTCGCAGGAGCGTGGACCACAGCTATGAACAGAAACTTCCTGAGCTGTGGACAATTCTCGAAGACTCTTTTGTTGAAATATGGACGTCTTCTCTGTTTGCACTAGGTTTTTTCAAGGATAGTTAATCTGGACTATACTAGACTTTCTCATTTTATCCTTCCCTGTGCTCGTTTTCTTGAAATACTGAAAACTGCATTTCGACACATTGAAACGATACTATCAGTAGTGCTAGTCACTACGTCGAGGGCAAAGAAGCAATGCAATAGAGCATTGATTCTTAAAGGCAGCGCCCACTTTCATTTGATGTTCCTGCGCCCTCTCTGAATATCATAGCCCTCCCCGTAAGGATGCAGTATGCACACTATAGTTCTCTGCGGACGGTTGGGCGTGTCAGCCAGTATGAGTGTGTCACCCTATCAAAGCCGTTCTCTGCCTTCTTGTTGAAGAGCGTCTGCGACAAAAGTGGTAGAAGACTAGTAATACGAAGGATATGATACAGTATTGTCACTTGCCCGCTTCAACAACTGGTGTAGAACGAGTTTGGCACCGCGCCAAGCGCAGCCGCACGGACATGCCCAACCGTCCGCAGCGAACTACACTATAAATCACACTTTATTAACTTCTGTTTGGACAT